AAAGTACACCCAATTAAAAAGGAAATTTGTTAAGTAATTAACCAGAAATATCACACGTTATCTGTAACAATCCTATACCCCCCTTCTCTGAAAAAGGAGGAAAAGGGATGAAACACCAAGCAAGCTGGGGGAAAAACAAATAGAGTATTTAAAAGCTTTATCTAATTACCCCCACTGAGACTTTTTCTCTTCAGTCTGGCGGTCTGACAAAGCCTGTGGGGGTTTTCATTCTCCTTCTCCACCCACTGTCATGAGGTCTGCAAGCCCTCAGGTGAATCCCTGCAGGAGCAGTCAGTACCCAGGCCCGGAACTTTACAGAGGTTTTCAAATTCTCTTAGCATTAGTTGCTTGAATCACACTGAACAAACAATCTCCACCCTCTCCCACTGCTTTTGTCTGAAGCACCTATTCACAGGCAGCCACCTTTACTGATGGGCAGACTAACCAACCTGTACCCTAAAGTCCCACCAAAAAGATGCACCAGTCACACCCTGCCCCCTTCTCCCCATCAGCTTCACCCCACCCACCTAGGCCAAGGCCGAGTGTAGTCCCCAGCCACACTCTGAGGCTGCACTTGGAACCACACTAAACACTCAGGGAACACAAGAGAAACTGAGATGAGCACAGTCGATGACACTGCCCGACGGGACTAACATAAAAAGGAAAAACTCCTCTCCACCTTCCTCATTCTTCTACCTTGGTAGTAATGAAAACAGCAGATGGTTTTCCTTTCTGTAATCTGCCTTCTCTGAGAGTGGGGGAAATTAAAAATAAGTGATGCATTTCAGAAAGCACATCGTCTGCCTCTCTCTGGGTTTCATATGGTACACCTTTTACCTTTGATATATGGGGAGGCCCCTCCCCACCCCCTACCCCTGGCTTAAAAATCACTATCTGCTTTTTGAAGAAGGCCACAGCTATTTCTGCTCAAAAGTCATTCTTCAAGTCTAAAAGGAGGAGAAAAAAGAGAAAAGAAACAGAAAACTCATTTACTAATTTCTTAAGTATATTGGGATATTAAAAATGAGTCAACATTGACTGTTCAACAAGTCAGATGTACAAAATAACCTTGACACAGAGAAACTTTTTTGTTGTTGTTCCTTTTGAGACAGAGTCTCACCATGTTGCCCCTGGTAGAGTGCTGTGGCATCACAGCTCACCAGCAACCTCAAACTCCTGGGCTTAAGTAATTCTCCTGCCTCAGCCTTCAAAGCAGCTGGTACCACCAAAACGTCTGGCCATTTCTTCGTTGCAGTTGTCAGTGTTGCCTAGCGGGCCCAGGCTGGGCTCGAGCCTCAGGTGAATGTGGCCAGCGCCCTACTCACTGAGTTACAGGCCGAACCAGACATAGTAGGCTTGCCATTCAACCAAGAGATGATGGTTGCCAGTCGTGGCTTCAATTAGATTTCAACCACTTTATCACACTAAAACATTTCAAGATCCTGAAGCATACAATATGTAACAGAAATGTAATGTAAATCACACTTCTTTTTGTTTTCTAACATTTGGGCAGTCCTTCCAAAGATACTCTGAATCTAATATGGATATTTTAAAAAAGGTACCCCTGAAATGGGCTGAATAAACGGAGCCAAGGAGGTGGAGTTGAAAGGGAGGAGCCCTATCCAGACCTAATCTTAGGGAATGGTAATCTCAGGAAAGAGGGAAAGAAGGCTATTGTCCCTTATCAGGAGAGGTAATATTGCATACTTTCTATTGATACATACTGGCTTTCTATCTTTTGAATGTAAATCTGTTTAATTAGGAGTAAAGGTAAAATATCACTTTATGGATCATGCAGAATTTCTAAAATGAACGAAAAAGTTGTTATTAATATATGATGTTATCCTCAGGAAGTTTTAACCTGAACATATGGGCATAAACAAAAAGTCCACTCAGACAAGCTGCCATCTGACACCACATGGTTGGTAAGAGTACTGAACTTCAATTAAAGACATTTATAAAAGTAAGAGATTATATTTAAATATAATAACAAAAAGAAAGCAAACTTTAACATCCCACCTTCCCAGGTCAAAGGACATAGAGAATTCAGATATTAATTAAACCTAGTAAATAACACAAAACAGAAAAGGACTCCCTTTCAAAAATGCTTCGGTTAATTTTAGCATCCTTGTTTAGCTGCTTAGCAACCCTTATCCTATGACCTTCTAAGCACCACCTACTTTTCAGAAGGATAATGAATAGAAACATCAAAAGAATTCACTTCTGACTGTTTCCAGACAGTGTATTTAACTAATTTTTGTAGGAGTTAAATTTATATTAAATATGCCATGCAAAACACTAAAAGCGTCGTGCTTTTTTAATTCATCAACCAGGAAATATCCTTAACTGAAAGTGATAACTGATGTTAGCAAATGAGCCTAAGATAGCAAGTGAGGACTTCCAAACTGACCTCAAAAGTGGACCAACACAAGCAGCTCAAAATTGGAGAAGTAAAAATGAAAGCCAGGTAAGGGCAGCTACATTCCATAGTGCCTGGCCTACCGCAGGTAACCAACAAACAACTGCTGATCAGATGGAAGAGTAATAAGGTTAGGCTTATTTTCCTCTTGCAATATGCTGTATCTGTGTTGGATGCAAAAAAGACCTCAGGAGTCTGCCTGAAAAACTTTAAAATAAAAGACCCTTCAATCCAAAGGTCACTTGGATGATGTAAATAGTTAGGAATGAATGCACCACCTGTACAAGCTGAGTAAGACTCAGGTTCCCCATCACATAAAAAGTACTCGTCTGCCATTCAGGCTCAGAGTTTGAATTTCTAATGAGGAAATAAAGCAGAATGTAGAAAAACCCAGAGGATGATATTCCACATAAAAGTATCAGTAGCATTTCTTAAAAGTTCTAACACATCCAGCAAATTCTCTTTAAAGAGAAAACATCCTAAAATGCTACCAGGTTAGCAGTAGTTTTAACAACGGTAAGACAGTGCAAGTTCATTAACCTAAAATGGAGCAGAAGCTAAGCAAATAATTAAATCAAAGAGATACTCTCTCCCTTTCTTTTGTTAAAAAGGGGGAGGTATTTTTTTAACACATTTAAAACTTGATTAAAGCCATTCAAATGTTTAATTCATCAGTGTAACCAAAGCTCAAAGCACATCAAAGCAGGACCCATCAGCCGGTACCCAGAAGGCTCCCTCCAAAGGGCGGAGGCAAAAAAAACAAAACAAAAACCCTTAAAATTAGTGGTCCGCCTTCGTATTAATTATTTGAAAAATATTTCGAAGCCATTCCTTCAAAAGTTCTATGTACTCCTAAATGTAGCACAGAACAAACTCTTTGATTTTCTTTTTCTTTCTTTTTTTTTTTTTAAGGAGCTTTTAACTAAGACTTTAGCCTCCACCTCTGACTTCCGGGTTAAAATATGTCTTTAGAAACCCTACCTGCCTACTTGAAAAAGCACCAAATCTAGAGGATGCTTTTCACGGGCGTGAAAAAACAAAAAACACCATCATACATGCTTTTCTTTGCAGTTCTTTCTCCCACCTTCCACTTTAATAAACTTATTTCAGAATAAATTCCTGCACATGCACAGAACACCACATACCTAAATGCAAAGATGTCAAAAACAGAAGGATGCACCCAGCACCTCTGCCTTTGCAGAAAATCATTCAAGTCTTCTTAAAACAGCAAATGCTTCGCTACTTCCAGCATCCCTACCCAACAGGCAAACTATTTCCATTAGCTTTTAAGGGACTAAGCTTAAATCTAAACTCTAAAACTATACTCACTTCTCTACTAATGAAAATCTCCGACACGTTTCTCGACATACCAGAAAGTTATTATTTTAAAATCACCCTTCTCTATCACTAACAGCAGCAGAAACAGCAACAGCAGCATCCTCAAAAGCAGAAGAAAACCCCTCCAAAGTGCCCCGAATGTGCGCTGCTGCTGGCTCTGAAGCCGTGTAGAATTTCGTAATGGAATGTGAACTGCTCGTCCGGATCTGGGCTCACGTTCTATCTCCTAACCAGTAAGGAGCGAGGGAGGGCAAATCTGCTGAGCAAGGAGAAATACTTTCCTCCTCTTTTATAACTCATCACGGATGCACTGAGGACGAGGGACGCAAGCTGCACGCGGCGCCTGTCAAGCAGCCCGCCCGGCCCGCGCCCCCAGACCCCTGCCCTGTCCCGCCCGGAAAGTTAGGCTGCCCTTGCGAGAAGGGGCTCGGTCGCCGCGTCCCGCACTCACGCGCGGCCGGAGAGCGAGTCACATCTTCGACGCGCCCTTGGCCGGGTCCAGAAAACACACCGCTTCCCAGGGAGGGGGTCGGCAACAAGAAGGACCTCCCCGGCTCCTTAGCGACCATTAAGGTCGCAGTTTCCTAAGAGACCGCGAGC